TATTAGAATTGTGCATTTCCTTCCCTTTCTTCTCCCCCTACACCTGCTCTCATCCCCGGAGGATCTCTGCCGTCCAGGTTTCATAGCCTCGGTCACTTCTTTAGGGTTTGAAGGGTGACTGGCAGCTGGCATCCCCAATCACTCACCGGGATCCCAGACCACATCTGTGGTCAGTAGAATAATGCGGCTCCCCCCATCCCCCGCCAGGTTGGCCACATCCTAGTCCCTGGAGGCTGTGAATATATGACCTTCTACCGCAAAAGGGACTTTGCGGGTGTGATGAAGTTAAGGGTCTTGAGACAGGAGATTATTCTGGATGATCTGATTAGGTCTAATGTAATCACAAAATCCTTTTAAGGGGGGTGGAAGGAGGGTCAGAGAGAGAAGGAGATGGAGAGAGAGAGGGAGAGAGACTGCAGACAGAGGGAATGAGACAAATCTATCATCTATCTATCATCTATGTATCTATCTATCAATCATCTATCGCCTATCTATTTATCTATCTACCATCTATCTATCTATCTATCCATCTGTCTATCTATCCATCCATCCATGGAGTGAACGTGTGTGTGTGAGAGAGAGAGAGACGGAGAGAGAAAGAGAGAGAGGGATTTTGGAGATACTGCATTGCTGGCTTTGAAGATGGAGGAAGGGGCTTTGAGCCCAGGGATGTCGGCTGTCTCCAGAAGCTGGAAAAGACAAGGAATAGAGTCTCCCTTAGAGCCTCCAGAAGGATCGCAACCCTGCTGACATCTTGATTTCAGCCCCGCTAAGACTCATTTGGGACGCTGACCTCCAGACCTGCAATGTAATAAATTTGTGTTGTTTCAAGCCACTGTGTTTGTGGCGATTTGTTTTGGGAGCATCAGGAAACTCATCCACAACCTCGTCTCGCCCCCAGGCCCCCTGAGGAATCTGGGCTTGGTTGAAAAACCTTACCTCCAAAGGTCAATTCGTCCTTCGGCCCCAGACTCCCCATCTACATCCAGACATCCCTCCATTCTGCTGTTCCTGCCTCCTAAATTCCTCTTCATCTCCACAGCCCTTGCCCTCCTCCAGGTCACCACACCTTTCTTCTCTCCATCTCCCCACCCATGACCACATCCTGTCTGACACCCATACTACACAACACAAGTGTTGTAAAATACCAAAGTGACCGTTACTCTTCGCTAAAATCCCTTTTATTGCCCTGCGGAGACGGTCTAAACTCTTTCATGTTCAATGGAAGGTCCTGCCTGAAATGGACTTGCTGACTCTTCTAACTGAGTCACTGCTGGCACCATGCCTCCGATCAGTAGCTGTGACCACTTATTATTGACACAATGTCAATAATAACTGATAATATTGAGTATTATTTTTGCCAGGCAGGATTTTATGGCTTTATCACATTAAACCTCAAACCCTATGATGTTATGATGATCCTCTTTTTTTTTTTAACTGACAGGGACAATTGCTTCTAAGTGTATCAGTTGTCTCCTGCTGCGTAACAAATCACTCTCCAAATGTAACAGCTTAAAACAACACATTTTAAATTTTCTTACAGTTTCTGAGGGTTGGGAATCTGGGGGTGGCTTAGCTGGGTGGAGCTCGATCAGGGTCTTCTCAGGAGGTCACAGTCAAGCTGTTGGCTGGAATCTGAGTTCCCCCTCATGTGGGCTTCTCCATGGCACTGCTTGAGTGTCCTCACAATGTGGTAACTGACGTCCCTTCAGTGAATGATCCTGGAAAGAAAGAGGGAGGGGAAAACCACCATGATGCTTACAACCTCAGATGTCTCAGATCCCACACAAGGTCACATCTTCCTTTCTCTGTTCCTTAGAAACAAGTCACTAAGTCCAGCTCATACTCAAGGAGAGAAGAATTAGGTTTCCCCCTCTTGAAGGGAGGACTATCAAAGAATTTGAGTAATAGCCAAGCCTTGGAGATTTTCCTGTGTGTCAGGCTCTGTCACATACAGCCATTCCTCTGATGCTCGCCTCAACCCCATGAAATATGTCCTGCTTATCAAGCCCATTTTACAGATGGCATGTTGAGGCATAGAGAAATTAGTTGCTGGAGAAGGTGTGGAGAAAAGGGAACCCTCCTACACTGTTGGTGGGAATGTAAATTGGTGCAGTCACTATGGAGAACTGTATGGAGGTTCCTTAAAAAACTAGAAGTAGAGTTACCATATGATCTAGCAATCCTACTCCTGGGCATATATCCAGAGAAAAACATAATTTGAAAAGATACATGCACCTCCAATGTTCACAACAGCACTGTTTACAATAACCAAGACATGGAAGCAACCTAAATGTTCATCGACAGGTGAATGGCTAAAGAAGATGTGATATATTTATACAATGGAATACTACTCAGCCATAAAAAAGAAGGAAATAATGCCATTTGCAGCAACATGGATGGACTTAGAGATTATCATACTAAGTGAAGTAAGCCAGACAGAGAAAGGCAAATATCATATGATATCACTTATATGTGGAATCTAAATAAGTGATACAAATGAACTTATTGACAAAACAGAAATTGACTCACAGACATAGAAAACGAACTTATAGTTACCAAAGGGGAAAGGGAGGGGAGGGATAAATTAGGAGTTTGGGGTTAACAGATACACATTACTATATATAAACTAGATAAACAACAAGGACCTACTGTATAGTACAGGGAACTATACTCAATATCTTGCAATAACCTATAATGGAACAGAATGTAAAAAAATGAATATATATCTATGTATATATATATATATATACTTTGCTGTACACCTGAAACTAGAACAACATTGTAAATCAACTATATTTCAATAAAAATTTAAAAAAGAGTAGGTCTGTGTCTTTATTCCCGTCTTGCCCCTAGGTTCTTCATGACTTTTTTTTTTTCTTAGATTCCATATATATGTGTTAGCATACGGTATTTCTTTTTCTCTTTCTGACTTACTTCACTCTGTATGACAGACTCTAGGTCCATCCACCTCACTACAAATAATAACTCAATTCTGTTTCTTTTTATGGCTGAGTAATATTCCATTGTATATATGTGCCACATCTTTATCCTACTAGAGAATGGACTTGAGGATATGGGGAGGGGGAAGGGTAAGCTGTGACAAAGTGAGAGAGTGGCATGGACATATATACACTACCAAACATAAAATAGAGAGCTAGTGGGAAGCGGCCGCATAGTACAGGGAGATCAGCTCAGTGCTTTGTGACCACCTAGAGGGGTGGGATAGGGAGGGTGGGAGGGAGGGAGACGCGAGAGGGAAGAGATATGGGAACATATGTATATGTATAACTGATTCACTTTGTTATAAAGCAGAAACTAACACACGATTATAAAGCAATTATACTCCAATAAAGACGTTAAAAAAAATTTAAAAAAGAACTTGCCCAGGACCACACATAACTAGCAAGCGGTGGAGACAAGATCTGGACCCCTGGCGATCTGGTGTTAGAGTCTGTTTTTATCCTCCAGAGCTTCTCTTAACAAAGCTCCATTTATCTTCCTTCTCGGTGAACTTTACTGTATTTCTGTGCTGGCTCTTAATTGCAGCCTCACTGGGTAGGGTCTCCTGATGAACAGAAGGAACCACTGATGAATCTGCTTCAGTGATCTTAACTCCAAGGTGTATATTTTGCCTTGCACAGAGCAAAAAAGGAGAATATAAAAACAAGTGGGGCTCTACTTCCCAAGAACTTGGTGCTGGTCTTTGCACCTAAGTTTTGGCTTGGAGCAGGTGTTCTTGGTGCCCGTCCACACCTGTGACCTTCAACCCTTAGGGCACACTAGACTGACATGTGCCAGCCACTGCATTTTGTTATCAACAGGGTTATGAACTGGAGCCCATTCTATCTGCTTGGAGGCCAGGTCTTGGGTTGACACAAGGCTCAATCAGTGACTGACAGTAGCTGGTGGATAAATACCCCAACTCCCTCCCCCGACAGTTGGGATAACTCTGAAGAGGGTGCTCTAGGTTACCTTCTAGAGGTCCCCAGCCACATTAAATTTCAGTTTCTTATTGGGTAACTTGCCTGATAACATTCACTGCAGGCTCTT